GGAGGAGGAGGAGGAGTAGTGGCCCCTGGCCCCCCCTCCCCCCCTCTGTGCGCGCCGTCGAGAGGTCGCCCGAGGGGTCCCCAGGTCTTGGGGCGGCCGCCCCGAGCAGCGGGCGCGAAGAGTGCCGCGGCCCGCCGGCGGCCCGCGAGGCGCGGCCCTCTTGGGCGCCCGGCGGTGCTGGTGGCGACGGGTGCCGCAAGCCCGCCAGCTTGGGGCGGCTGCCTGGCCTGGCGCACCTGTCCGTCCTGGTGAGCGTGATGCTGGTGGTCGTCCTCTGCTGATGGGCCAAGGTTCCAGCACCACCGCCAGGTGGGAAGGGGGGAGGGTGTGGAGGAAGGTATTTTTTTCTTCTCCTCATTCTCCTTTTTGCTCCTCCTCCTCTTCCCCCCTCCTCTCTTCCTCCTCCTCCTCCTCCTCCTCCTCCTCCTCCTCCTCCCTTCTCCCTTCCCCTCCTCTCTCCTCCATCTTCCCTTCTCCCTCCTCGCTCTCCTTCCTCTCTCCCTCTCCTCTTTCTCCTACCTGTGTGGTGGTGGTGGTGGTGGTGGTGGTGGTGGAAAATCGGCCCATCATCTTCACCTTCGTGGAGATGCTCGCGGCCGTGGTGTACCCTGTCGTGGAGGTCACGACCTCCGTCTCCAGGAGCCTGGCCGACACCGCCGACGAGGCCGCCGGCCTCTCCATGGGCGCCGTGCACCTCGGCTGGGCAGCGCGGGATAAGCTCCTGGAGCTCCAGGATCCGAGGGTGTAAAACAGGGACTTTTTGCGTCGGCGGCTAGGCAGAGGGACTGCGCTGGCGAGTGGAGCGAAACGGGGCAACGTTAGGCGAATTCAGCCACCACGCAGGAGGGGGGAGGGACGAGGCGACGGCCGAGGCGAGGGGAGAGGCGGGAGCCGGGCCTGCTCAGAACAGACCCAGGCGCGTGGGGGGGCCGGCGCGGCGGGGGGGCCAGCGGCGGCAGCGGGGCTGTGGAGCCGCACAGGCACAAGTACATGTCGATCTCCAGGAAGAAGGGCATGCCGCCGCGCCGCTCATTCCGACGCGCGGTCCTGCGTCTTGGGGAGGGCGCCGCGGCCACCACGGCAGGCTCCGCCTGGGGCGCGGCGGGTTTGCCGTGGGGTTTGCCGCGGTGCCAGCTTCGTCTGGTGAGGCGGCGGTGCGCAGGGCTTGCCGTGGGTCTGCCGTGGTGTCGGCGCCGTCCGTTTGGGCGCGACGAGAACAAGCGGCGCGGCGACAGATGGGAAACGAAGGGGAAGACCACATTCCAGGAAGTATATTAAAATATTGGGGGAATCCTGGAATGTGTGTTTCGCTATTTGTGCATCCCTGGGCGCCTTTGCAGGACGGGATCAGGGAGTCGAAGGTCCAGCTGCTGGGGGCGCAGCAGACCCTGCAGGATATGTACCCAGCGCTCCACGAGGCCGATCCCGCTCTGGCCTCGCGGATGCAGGGCGTGCTGGACGCGCTCGGGGTCGTCGTCATGTCGCAGACCGGCCAGAACATCACGGTGCCTTTCTTCTGGGGGAGCAAGAAATGGCATAAACATGCAAATTCGGAGCTCCGCGCGGATTCCTCGGATCGGCGCTGGACCACCCTCTCTGGCGCGCGGAGCGCGCAAGGGGCGGCGCCAGAGGCGCCGCCAGGGGGCTCCAGCGCCGATCCGAGAAATCTGCGCGGACCTCTGAGTTTCTATGTTTATGTCATTGCTTCTTCCTCCATCTTCGGAGCTGACATGGACCTCGAGCAGTTGAGCGAGTCCCTTGGACAGGCAGAGGGCTTCGCTGTCATGTGCATCCAGGCTGCTGCCGACCTGCGAGTCAGGGTGTACGGGGCCGCCTCCTGGATGGACTACGCGGCCGGAAGCGTCCTCCCGTCCTCCATGGTGGCTGGCACGCTGTCGCTGGCCGTGGCGATCGCCCTGGTGGTGCTGACGCTGCAGAGCTGGCGGAGATCCCGCCATCAGCTCGCATCCGGCGGCTTGCGCAGCACCCCCCAGTGGCAGCCGGAAGCATTTGGCCCCGTCAGGGCGCCTGCCCTCCCAGGCCTCATGGCTAGCTCGGTGGCGCTCGCGTTCGGCACTGTGTACCTGCTGCTCTTCTTCGCCATCGAGGTCGGGGGCGAAGAGAGGGCGGGATGGCAAGGCTCGTTGATGCGCACATGCACCCCCAGAAGTATCCGCAGAAGGCGCCCATACTTAGGAAGCCCAGGGTTCGCCAGGGACTGGCCTCCCCCCAAACCAACGAAAGCTCTTCCATAACCCTCCCGGAACCCTCCCGGAACTCTGCCCGGAGGGGTTTCCGAGGGTTTCGGGAGATTTTCGGTCATTTTCAAAAAAAGCCAGTCCCTAGCAAGCCCTGGATTTTCTAAGCCTATACACCACCACCATGCCTGGCCAGGAGAGCGCATTGCACTGTGCCGGAGCCCGATGGCCCTGGCCAGGCGCGGTGGCTGTCCGCGACGGGGGCCGATGTGGGGCTGTCGGCGGGGGTGACGCCCCCCCCGACGCTTCTTCTCACCACCCGCCAGACCACCCCAAGCCAACCCGAAGGCCTCAGTTTGCATTCCATTTTCAGTTGGGGGGGGTGGGGGAGCATGGAAAAAACACACATGAAGCCCGTACCCCCCCCAAACCCGAAATTCGGGTCTTCGGGTTGGGTTGGGGTGGTCTGGTAGGTAGTCATCTTAAGAAGCTCGGAGTATGCACCGCCGCCGTGCCTGGCCAGGAGGGCGTATTGCACTGCGCCGGAGCCCAGGATGGCCCCGGCCAGGCGTGGCGGTGGCGTGCATGTGCCTCGTGCGGCAGAGCGCGCCTGCAGCCCTAATGCGGGCCTCCACCGCTCCCCAGGGTTAAGTCTGGCCTGGCCCTCTACAGGAGGAGTAGTCAAAACTCGTCGACAAATAATCAGGGGACGATTTTTGGAATATTATTGTTTTTTGTTTGGGGGGGTACTTTTTTGGTATCTTGCATGTTTCGTCCGAAATCCGCCTGTCTGGGGGACACGGCCGACCTAACCCCAGGTGCAGCTCAGGGCGGTCTCCACACCGCCGTGCCGCCTCCTGCGGGTCGGGGTGTTGAGCCCCCTTGCCTTGGACTGCGTTGGGGTGCCTTTGGTGCCAGCACTGTCTGCCTCTGGGAGCTGGCTCGGGGGGTGGCATCGATTTAAAGTCGCCCATTCGTGTACTCGCCGATAGTGGCGTGGGTGCCAGAACCGTGCCCAGACGCCAGCCGCTTCGCTGTTGAGGGCCTATCGGTAATACATTGGCGCTCACAGGTCGATGCAGACTTCCTTCTGCCAGTCTCCTCTGTCTGACTCTCACGAGGTTCCCTGGATAGGGATCTACACCTTCGGGCTTCCGAACAGGGATTTCTTGTGGGATCAGATCATCAATCTGGCCATTGCGGTGGGTGTGAAGAAATTGTTGCTTGACAAGTTGGTCGGGTGGCGTATGACGAGGCAAGGGTTCGTGACCCATTGGTGCGAATTCGCATGGTATCGAAGAAGCCTACGGCGAATCACCGCCGCCCCCTGCCTTTTAGGATACGTCTATGTAGCCAAACGTTTGGGCAAAGTTTGGCCACGCTATTGGACCATGCGTGAACGTGGGGAAGGAAGAGGAGAATCAGGAGAGGGAGGAAAATGGAGGAAGAGAAGGATGAGGCGACCTCTTGGGAGCCTTCTCCTGGAGGTCTCTTGGATGCCTCTTGGGGGCCTCCTTGGGCCTTTTGAGGGCCTTCGGGGGCTTCTTGGGGGCCTCTTTGGCGGTCTTACGGCGTTCCTGGCCCGTCTGATGTCGCCTTGGGAGCCTCTCTGGGCGTTCTTGGGGCCCTCTTGGGGCGCTTCACGATCAATGATTGTGGCCTCTTCGGGCCTTCCTGGAGGACCTCTTGGAGGCCTCTTGGGCAGTGTTAGAGGCCTCTTGGGCACTTCTTGGGCCGTCTTGGGCTCTCTTGGACCATCTTGGCGATCTTGGAGGCACCTTGGGACCGTCTTGGAGGCCATCTTAGGGCTATCTTTGGCTCTCTTGGGGCCATCTTGCCCTTCTTGGAGGCATCTTGGAGGATATCTTGGGCCATCTTGACCGTCTTGGAGGCCAACGGAGTTGGGTTTTTACGAGGCTTTCTGCAGCTTTCAGGGTGACCGGCGGGCTGGGCCGAAGACCTATTGGGAGCCTAAGCTAATCAGAAACCACCCAGACGTCCAGCACGCCAGGCACCCTTGTGGTGAGCCGCAGGGGGCGGCGGATCGAAGTCGCCTGCGGCGAATCACCGCCGTCCACTGCCTTTTTGGATGCGCCTATGTGGCCAAATGTTTGGGCAAAGTTTGGCCGCGCTATTGGACCGTGCGTTCCCCCAGCCGTTGTGGAAGCCCTTCGGGGAACATGTGGGGGAGGAAGAGGAGGATCAGGAGAGGGAGGAAAAATGAAGATGAGGAGACGGATGAGGAGATCTCTTGGGAGTTTCCTGGGGGCCTCTTGGGGGCCTCCTTGGGCCTCTTGGGGCCTTCGGGGGCTTCTTGGGGGCCTCTTTGGCGGTCTTACTGCGTTCCTGGCCCGTCTGACGCCGTCGGACGCCGTCTTGGGAGCCTCTCTCGGCCGTCTTGGGGCCCTCTTGGGGCGCTTCAGGGTCGTCTTGACGGCCTTCTTGGGCGTTTTGGTTGAGGCCTCTTGGGCTCTCTTGGGGCCCTTTGGAGGCCGTCTTGGGAGCCTCTTGGGCCGTCCTGGGGCCATCTTGGAGGCCTCTCGGGTGATCTTTGGGCAATCTGTGATGCCTCTTGAACGATCATGGGGAGATCTTGGGCAGCTCTTGGGCCGTCGTGGAGGCCTCTTGGGGCCCTCTTGGGCCGTATTGGGTCTTCTTGGAGGCATTGTGTGTCTTCTTGGTGGCTTCTTGGGCGGGCTTGAAGGCATTTTGCGGCCATCTTTTGGCTTTCTAGGTGCCATCTCAATTCGCTGTCTTGGAGGCCATCTTGGCCGTCTTGGAGGCTATCTTTGCCGTCCTGGAGGCATCTTGGAGGCCATCTTGGCCGTCTTGGGAGCGATCTGACCGATGAGAGGTGGATTTTGTGCAGCTCTCCGGGTGGCCGGCGGGTTGGGCGGAAGCCTCAGGAGTTCTTTAGACAAGAACCAGCAACCTCCCAGACGTTTGGCGCGCCGTGCACCCTGTGGCAAGACCACAGGGGTTGGCAGATCGAAGACACCTACGGCGAACCACCGCCGCCCACTGCCTTTTTGGAAGCGCCTGCGTGGCCGAAAGTTGGGTTTGAGCTTGGCCAAGCTATCGGGGAGAGGCCCCTCGTGAGAACACCGGGGCCCCTCAGGCGAACAGCCGAAGTCCGTCCCACGAACGCTCCGACGAACAGCGAAGTCCGTCAGGCGAACAGCCTGGGGTCCGTCAGGCGAACAGCCCCGGAGACGTCCGGCGAACAGCCCCGGAGACGTCTCGCGAACAGCCCCGGAACGCGCAGGCGAACAGCCCCTGAACGGCGAGGGCCGCTCACCCTCCTCCTCCTCCTCCTCAGACCCCCAACCCTGACCCTAAACCCTAACCCTAAACCCAAACCCTAAACCCGAACCCTGAACCCAAAACCCTGAAACCTAACCCGAAACCTAATCCAGAACCCTAACCGTGACCCCATTAACCCTAATCCTAACCCTAACCCCTAAGCCCTAGCCCTAATCCAGAGACCGACGGACAACCACAAGTTTCCACTCCAAACTCCCCAGAATGTTCTGGACATCGCGTCCACGTGACCCCTCTCCGAACAACTCGGAGAATTCTCGTACCCCCGCGACGACGACGCCGACCACGACGTCGACGACGACGAATACGACGTCGACGACGACGAGCTAACCCTAAACCCTAACCCTAAAACCTAAATCCTAACCCGAACCCTAAACCCTTTTCCCTAACCCTAACTAAACCCTAACCTAGAACCCTAACCCTAAACCCTAACCCTAGACCCTAGACCCTAACCCTAAACCCTAACCCTAACCCTAGCCCGAACGCTAAACCCTAACCCTAAACCCTAACCCTAAACCCTAACCCGAACACTAATGCCTAACCCTAACCCTAAACCCTAAACCCTAACCCTAAACCCTAACCCTAACCCTAACCCTAAACCGAACCCTAATCCAGAACCCTAACCGTGACCCCCTAACCCTAACCCTAACCCTAACGACGACGACGACAACGAACGACGAAGTTTCCACTCCAGACTCCCCAGCATGTTCTGGACATCGCGTCCCCGAGGCCCCTCCCCGAACAACTCGGGGAATTCTCGTGCCCCCACGACGACGACGACGCCGACCGCGACGTCGACGACGACGAATACGACGACGACGACGAGCTAACCCTAAACCCTAACCCTAAACCCAAATCCTAACCCGAACCCTAAACCCTAAACCCTAACCCTAAACCTAACCCGGAACCCTAACCCTGAACCCTAACCCTAAACCCTAACCCTAAACCCTAACCCCAAACCGTAACCCTGAACCCTAACCCGAACACTAAATCCTAACCCTAAACCCTAAACCCAAAACCTTAACCCTTACCCTAAACCCTAACCCTAACCCTAAACCTAACTCTAACATTAAAACCTACCCCCCCCCAACCCTGACCCTAAGCCCTAACCCCAAACCCTAACCCCATCCCTAAACCCTAACCCTAAACGTAACCCTAAACGAACCCTAATCCAGAACCCTAACCGTGACCCCCTAACCCTAACCCTAACCCTAACGACGACGACGACGAAGAAGTTTCCACTCCAGACTCCCCAGGATGTTCTGGACATCGCGTCCCCGAGGCCCCTCCCCGAACAACTCGGGGAATTCTCGTGCCCCCACGACGACGACGACGCCGACCGCGACGTCGACGACGACGAATGCGACGTCGACAACGACGAGCTAAGCTAACCCTAAACCCTAACCCTAACACCTAAATCCTAACCCGAACCCCAAACCCTAAACCCTAACCCTAAGCCTAACCCAGAACCCTAACCCTAAACCCTAACCCTAAACCCTAACCCTAAACCCTAACCCTAACCCTAACCCTAATCCCTAACCCGAACACTAAACCCTAACCCTAAATCTTTAATCCTTATAATTATTGAAACCTTAAGTCCGCTAAACCGGCCGCTATGCATCCCCCCCTCCATCCCTTGCAAAAAATAGTATTTCCTGATCATGCGCTCAGAAAGCCATATTTTTACAGTCTATTGTGCCCGGCCCGGGTCGCAACCCGGGCCTTTCCATTGCAACAAATATTATATCCTGATCATGCGATCAGAAAACCATATTTTTTACAATGCAAAGTGCCCGGCCGTGGTTCGCGACCCCGCATGTAAACCGGGGTTTTCTATTGCAAAAAATGATATAAACTTAACATTCTGCTCTTGCAAGATGTGTCCATGCTCATATTCCATTGCAAAAAATACGACAAAGTGCACACGCGCGCGGCGGCCGCGCGATCATGGCGAAATCTTTTGAAACACAATGTGTTTTCAATGTTTTTCAGAAGCGATATCAGCAAAACATATGAAAACATATGGTTTTCTCATACCACAATTGTGCAGGATCGCTCTCCGCGTGCATCCTGAATCATTGACGAACCAAGATCTCAGCGGCTCCCAATGCCTCAAGGGGCGCCAGGGGCGCAGGGGCTCTCAAGGGCTATCGGAGGCTCCCAGGGGCTCCCGCGGCCGGTGCAAGGGGTTCCTGTGTTACAAGGGGCTCTTACAGGTTCCCAGGGGGGCTCCCAGGAGCTCTTAGAGGTTTCGAAGCTGGGGCTCTAGTGGGCTGGATCGCCCTCCGCGTGCATCCTGAACTATTGAAGAACCAGAGGGCCCAATGATTCCAAGGGGCGCCAGGGGCGCAGGGGCGCAGGGGCTCTCAGGGGCTATCGGAGGCTCCCAAGGGCTCCCGCGGCCGGTGCAAGGGGTTCCTGTGTTCAAGGGGCTCTCACAGGTTTCCGGGGGGGCTCCCAGGAGCTCCTAGAGGCTTCGAAGCTGGGGCTTTAATGGGCTCAAATGGGTTCGCAGGGGCTTCAGTGGCTCTCAAGGATTCCTGGAGGCTCCCAGGGGCTATCGCGGTCGGGTCCGGGGCTCTCTGTGTTCGATGGGGCTTTCAGAGGCTCCCATGGGGGATTTCCAGGAACTCCCAGATGTTCCCAAGGCCTCCCCTGTGCTTAATGTGTTTCAGGGGTTTCCAGGGGCTCTCAGGGGCTCTCAGGGGCATCGTGTATTACAACGAGCATACTTGGTGCTACAGCCACGGTATAACATGAGAGGAGAGATGATCTTTATGTGGGGGTGGAGATGCGGGGGGGATTGATAGCCACCGCAGGTGAGTGCCTATGCAGGTAGGTATTCCTGGCCTTGCCCTGTTAGACCCTAAACCCTAACCCTAAACCCAAAACCCTAACCCTTACCCTAAACCCTAACCCTAAACCTAACTCTAACATTAAAACCTAACCCCCCCA